AAGTTTCACAAGATTAGGATGTTGCAAACAAGAAATCATGCCTATTTCATTTAAAAATTCGCGATTTCCTTGACTTGATTTGGATGAGAGTTTTTTTACAGCAATAACTGTACCATCCAATAATGTACCCTATACACATAGAAAACATTTAATCCAAGATCACTAACATAAGCATCTAAATAAGTCCAAAAGCAAAAATGTCAAGGCATGAATTAACAGATATTATGGATAATCATATTTCACTCTACCTTGTAGACAGGCCCAAAGCCACCTTCCCCAATCTTATTTGCAGCATCAAAATTGTTTGTAGCGACTTTAATTTGTGTGAAGGAAAACAGTCCTGTTCGTAGATCAAGATCTCGTAGTTCTGTACAAGAACAATAACTTTATAGAAATTTCTAGTGCAAGAAAGAATGAGTTTTGGGATTGAACAAATTGTCACAATGTCCAGGTTTCCTATACAAAATTAGAAAGTAATTAAAATTAACTGCATATATTACCCTTTCTAGTTGAGGTCATGTTTCTTATCAAGATCTTCCACCAAGCAAAATAGAGAATTGTGGAAGTAAGAATCAAAGAAAAAATTACTGAACCAAATATGATTGAAGTCTTTCGCTTTTTGGGAGGCTTGGAATCTACAGAATTGGCTAGAAAGTAACAAACATATTAATAAAAACCTAAATATATAAATATGTGCTATTAATTAAAAATATGGAAGCCATAACTAATTTTACCAAATTCCACAGAAATGGCAGAGATTAAAGGTCCATATGTTCCTCTACTTGGGGCTGCTGTTGTTCCTTTCCCCGCATACTCAAAGCGCACCTCTAAAGTTTTATCTCTGACAATTGTTTGAAATTCTTTAACCAAGGCTTTATCAACTCCTTGTGCTTCGGTTTTAATTTCAAAATCCTTTAGTTTCACTTCACCCTGTAATAAATAAAATCACTATAGTCAAATGCACATCATTTAAACATTGAAGTCATCCGTTTAAATTAAAATTCTTAGCTAACCTGTATATAAACATTAAATATGCGTCTTCCAAGACTTTGAAAAGATCTATTATCTCTAATTACTATTTCTGCAAAATGAAGTTTTACAGTATAGTTTCCATTTGCCAAACAGCGCCCATAATACGTTAGAGATAAAGGAGACAAACGAGCAGTCTTGTAGATTTCAGAGATGTCTTTTCCACTGATGACAGATATATTTGTTGCTGTATAGTCATTTAGGGATATAATTTTATCCCAAAAAATCCCTGTACGACTGGTTACCCAGTTCTCTCTAGTGGGAACAAATTTTGCGAAGCTTGTGTTATCTACATCTGCGTCATATGTAGTGTCACCAATCAAAACATTGCCCCCACCACAATTGATGTGAAATGAATACCAATCTGTAGAAAAATGAACTAGACATTGGTCTACAATGATAAACATAAAATGGCTATTGCTTGTCAAGTGCAAATGACACATGGTGCAAGTATATATTGTGATATGATGAGCAGTGCTTACCCTTCGAACATTGCTGAAAACACTTTGCAGCATCTCTATACAAAGCCAAAATGGAGCTCAAGTAAGAAAACCTTTGGGGACTATATTACATTAACAGCACGTTTGGTTCACGGAATGAATTTTGAGGTAATAGGAATGCTATTCCATAAGAAATAGAATAGGCAAGGAATAGAATAGGAATTGTATTCTATGGTTTGGTTTGCGGAAGGAATAGACTTTAGGAATTATATTACAGTATTTGGTTGATTTAAGGAATAGAAATGAAATATGTTTTAAAAGACATAAATACCCTTATAAAAATATGTGATGTTGGCGATGGTGGTGGTGGTGGTGGCGGTGGTGGTGATGGTGGTGATGGTGGTGGTGGCGGTGGTCGTGGTGGTTCTAGGGTGGTAGTGGTGGTGGTGGCGGTGCAGTGGTGGGGGCGACGGTGGTGGTGGTGGCGGTGCAGTGGTGGGGGCGACGGTGGTGGTGGTGGCGGCGGTGGTGGTGGCGGCGGTGGTGGTGATGGTGGTGGCGGTGGTGGTGGTGGTGCTGGGGTGGTAGTGGTGGTGGTGGCGACGACGGTGGTGAAATAGGATAAATTTATATATAGGATAAAAAAATTAGGTTAAAGAAAAGGGTAAAAAAGAAAATAAATTCTAAAATCTATTACTGAGGATTCAGTAATAGGCTAATACCAGGGGGGGCCCCTAGTAATAGCTATTACCTTATTTGAGGTAATAGGCTATTACCAGGAATAATATTCCTGGTAATAGAAATGGTTACCAAACAAAGGAATATGCCTATTACTGGGAATGCTATGCCATTCCCGGCCTATTCCGTGAACCAAACGGGCCATAAGAGTGTTAATGGGGTGTTTAATATATAGTTGTTAGCTTATTCGGTTAGTGGGTTTGACTAGTTGATAGCATTAGTTGATTGTAGAAAGATGTTTAATTTGGTAATTAAGTTAGTTGTTAGCTGATAGCTGATTACGTGCAAAATGACTTTTTCAAAAAACTAATCGTAAAAGTTGTTTTGAGTAGTTTTTTGAATTTTACCGTTTTGTAGCAATAAATTGTTACAAAAAGCTAATTAATCAAACACATATTGGTTGTTTAACCAAGTCAAACTGCTAATAGTGGTCAAACAAATAAAAATTGACATATAAGCTAACTATGTTACCAAACCGGGCCTTTAGTATTTTGAAGCAATAAGCTGTTACAAAAAGCTAATTAATCAAACACTTATATTGAGTTATTGACTGTTTAACTAAGCTAGTCAAACAACTAATAGTGGTCAAACAAGTCAAAATTGGTTGATAAGTTAATTATGTTACCAAACATGGTCAATATCTTTGTCAAAAGATGTTAAAACTTACGAACTTTCTCCTCCTTTGTAGCTTTTGAAAAAATTTCTGATAAAACATGAGAAAGTCAGGTAAAATGATCTATGTCTGAAGGAACACTTGAAAGAGTAGATGTATAAAAGGGATAGAATTTTACATGTTTTTCCGACAATTTGGTGGCACTGAGCTCTTATCAAAATTATTGTAGGAAAGATCTATGTTCACCGCTGGAAATCTTTTATTTTTTGACCTAAAAAATGATCGAAAAGTGGTTGAAAATACCGACCACAAAGTAAAGGTGGTCAAAAAAAATTCAAATTTAAACTGAGTTGGGAATTTTCGCCAATCTTTTTAGTAGCTAATTTTTCCGACCACTTTACAAAATTGGGTGCTATTTCCGACCACCTTTCCAGTGATCGGAAATAGTAACAAAGGTTTTTTAGATACCCAAAATGGTCGGAACAAGGGCTTGCAACTTAATTTAAGATCAGTTTTAGGTGGTCGAAAATTCTTTAATTTTCTGCCGTAATTACTATACACCAACTTTTAAAATATGTTAGAGAATAATTGAAAACTCAGATATAAACCACTCATCTAATGTATAAGACTGAACTTACAATCTGGAATTTTGATTTAGAACCCATGAAGGTATTTTCCCGGTAAGGTTGTTGTTCGTTAGAAACCTAAGAACATGCATATAACAAAAATTCAATTTAGTAAGGTGTTACAATTCAAGTGAGTAATGTATATTATATTGTATAATATAAACATAAATTTATATATTTTTAAATGATATTATATATTATTTTTCAGTGTATTGCATAATATAAATATGAATTAATACTTTAGTGTAACAAAATTAGTACAAGCTATGATTATGATTAAAATACTAAAACATCATTATCCATCAAATCATATTATATATAAATTAAAATTTATATTTTTTTTCTAATTATAAAACATAGTATGTAATGTTAAATAAATATCTTCTTGCGAAAATAACATTTTTACACCTGAATTGTTTTAGTTTTGAAATTTTGGTCCTTCTTAATTTCCAAAACAAATTTAATTAGTACCTTAATTGTTCATTATGTTGCACTTTTAGTATCTTTGTTGTATAAGATAATTTTCACTTTAGTGTACTATTATTAAAATTTTCAAATTTGGTACCACGACTTTTAAATACTTGCCACATTTGATACATCCAAACTAAATTTCAGCTACCGGTGACAAAATTTTATGCAAGTGAATTATCTTAAGGGTGAAATTATCATTTTTTAATACTTTTTTCTTAAACTTATTTTTAAGATAAACTTTTTGTTAACCTTATTTTTAGAAAAAGGACAGTTTTATTCACTACAAAATTATCTTAAAAATAGTTTAAGAAAAAAGTAATTGAAAATGACAAATTTAGCCGTAAAATAATTCATTTGCTTGAAATTTGTCACCAATAGCTGGAATTTAAGTTCGATAGACCAAATGTGACAATGATTTAAAAGTTGTGAGATTAAATTTAAAAACTTTAATAATTATGGACCAAATGTGAAAATGGTCTCATACTTGTCGAACCAAAAGTAAAAATAAGTTAGCAAAATTTTTAACATCAAAATTGATTTGTTACTCACAGAAACTTCACTTTGTTATCAGATTGAAGCCCTTGAAGACCTCGAAGACCTTGAAGACCACTAATCCCTCCTTCGAGATGATTAAAGCTCAAATCTCTGCAAACTCAATATAATAACAAAACAGTAAAGCAACCGTAAGCTAATATGACATTAACAAGTTGAGAAAGCAGAAAATGGAATTTTAGTCCTTTAATAAAGAAAATTAAAGAACAGAATTACAGAAACGAAAATTTTCTGAAATAATTACACTGGATAATTTATTTATTGACATGATTTGTAGTATAAAATAAATAATTTCCCCAGACAAATTAAATAGTCGAGAAATTTAGTTACTGACATCATTTGCAAGTTTGCCATAGCATGCAAATCATCAGGTAAATTCCCCGAAATGTTGCACCTACTCAACATCCTGCACCAAAAATTATTTTTTGCATAAATAATATCTTCACTTCATAGTGGAATCACTACTGGAAATTCTGAAATTTTCGACTACCTGAAAGTGATATTAAATCAAGTCAAAAGCTTGTTCCGACCACTTTTGGTATCCGGAAAAAACCCTTGTTGCTATTTCCGACCACTTTTTGCTTTCAACTTGATTTAAGATCACTTTCAGTTGGTCGAAAATTCAATAATCTCCAGTAGTGAATTATGAAACTTATGTTCATATTTTGGAAATTAAAGAAAATGAGATACTCACAACTTTCTCATGTTTGTCATGTTATTTAATGTAGGAAAACTCGAGACACCTCCATTTAGGTCACTGATTCTACTGCAGGTTTGTGTTATTGACAATCATATAATAATCAGAACTTGAGTATTAATTAATTTATATTGTAAAGGAAATCAATCTCAACTCACAGTTCTGTCAAGTCTGACGGTATAAAGTCGTTTTCAGGTATGGGTCCTTCAAAACCACTTGCTTGAAGCTCTCTGCCAATCATATATTATGCATTTATGCTAGCATATGTCAATAAAAAATTAATGATTTCATCAATTTCTAAGTGTTAGAGTTGAATGCTTACAGTCGTTGAAGGTTTGTTAAAGATCGAAAGCTAGGCAGTTTCCCAGTGAAGTTATTACTGTTCAGCCTGCTGCAATATATTGATTTCCCAAGACACATGACAAGTAGTAAACAAAAAGTATAGAATTAAGCTAAGGATTGGAGTTGCAGCATAAATTAGCTAGGAATATGCATGCACTTACAGATATCTCAAATTTGTGAGATTATTAAGTACTTCTTTTGGCAATTCACCCGTGAGATAATTAGCACTAAGAATGCTACAGATCAGAGAGCAAAAATAATAGAGAAAGCGTCAAACAAGTGATAACATACGAAAATTTAATATATATAATCAGCTAATAGTTAAATTAAGAGAAGGATTATATTCTTACAGATTCTGTAAGTTGGTAAGATTCCCAAACTCTAGTGGAACGGTTCCATTGAACATATTGTTTTCCAAGCTTCTGAAAATTTGATCATTTGTTGTGTTGTTAATTAGGACAAAGTCCAAACATTTAATTAAATTAGTTCCTCATAAAAAAATTGTACTATATGTGTGAGATCGAGGAGCAAGCTAAGCTAAGGGAACATACAATTGTTGAAGAGTTGTTATATTTCCCAAGTATTTTGGAATTGGCCCCGACAATCGATTCACACCAACAATGCTGCAAACTTTCACTTCTTTAGCATGGATATATGACATACACTTATTGTATGGCTATAACTTATAATACACAATACAACTTACATAGTTACCAATTTGGTAGAAGCCCATTCAGGGGGAATTGTACCACTTAAATAGTTGCGGGTGAGATCACTGCATGAAGTACGTAAACAATATTATTAATCAAGCAAACAATATATACAACAGATTATTGCATAAACTACTACTGGAAATTATGGAAACAATATATATCAAGCAAACACTACTACTTGAAAGTGATCTTAAATCAAGTCGAAAGCCTTGCTCCGATCACTTTTGGTATTCGGAAAAATTTTTGTTGCTATTTCCGACCACTTTTTGCTTTCAACTTGATTTAAGATTACTTTCAGGTGGTCGGAAATTCAATAATTTCCAATAGTGAACATAGAAAGTGTGTGTTGTTACATTGTCTTGAGAAAGGGTAACTTCACCAAGGAAGGAGGAAGGACACCTTGCAGATCCAGTCCCCTTAAAACTCTGTTTACACAAAAATAAAAAATAAAAAATAAAAAATAAAAAAATAGAGACTATTAAGGATCATGTTCCCCGAATCTATTTTTGAGCACTTACCTGATATTTCCTCTGTCCCATTTTATATGTTCGGTTGGCTGAAGTTATTTTCCATTCAATTTTTCATAATATTAAGTTTTGTATTAGTATACAAAATTTATATATATATATATATATATATATATATATATATATATATATATAAACTACACTAAAAATACTATTAAACATACACTAAATTAATACGGGGCAACGGGCTAAGTAAAAAAACCAGCAAAGACACTTGAAGTAAAATGTGAGATGATGATGAGAGAGTTGGATAGAAGGAAGAGCTTAGCTTACATGCTTTGCACATGGCAAATACCAGCTGCAGGGAAACTACAATCGCAAGTGAGGGATTATTGTACAGAGGCATATCTTCCCTATATGGTGTCATCCAATTTGAGTTGTTGTCACAAGGATTTAGACTAAAATTCCAATCCTCCTTGCCCAGTTCTTTAGCTATTTCCCTAAGTGCATCGACTGCCATATACATACATGAAACCAAATTAAGAAATACTATGTAATTTGCATATAGAAAATTAATAATCACCAAAGAAAACAACAGAGAGAGAGAGAGAGAGATATGATCGAGGCTCACTTTCATGTGCAGGAAGATACCCAGTCTGCGCTTCAAGAAATATGGGAAAGAAGGATAATATAATTGGTATGAGGATTATAGACATGGCTGAGTTCTAGCTTGGGAAGATAAGCTGCAATGATTGTGTTATTTAATAAGTTTGTTGTGCATATATATAATAAATAGAGATAGAATAATGATTGAAAGAATTGAAGGAAACAGCACTTGATGACCATGAGTCAATGAGGCCTGTGCAAGTGGACCCAGAAATCATTACAATTAGACAATTAGCTAATCAGCAAATGTTATCAACTAGTTACTCAAACTCATCAACTAATCCAATCAACTTAACTAACAGCTATTTACCAAATATTTCCTTAGTGATTCTTGTGCCATTATTATATTTTGTTCTAAACTTTAGAAGTAGTAATTATATTTAGTCTCATGGATGATATAACATATTTAAAAAAATAAAAAAGTCACCGTGATTTACATCCTCTCAAATGTTCCATCCGATTGGGTTGTGGAGGATCATTAGGGTTGGGGATTCAACCTTTTAGGAGAAGTTCAATTATCTTTATTATTGTATATGTGTTGTGTATAAATGTGTTTTAGTAAGTGGCTGGAGATTAAGATTATTATGAAATACCAGACTCTAGCATAAGCTTAACTAAGTTAATTTCGTGCCCTTAATTATATATGTTAAGTGATAAGGGAAATTCACATCCATTATCTGATGGTGTGTACTAAGTAATCACAAGAAGATAAACCAACTTATATTGCATATTGTTAAATGTCTCAAACTAAAAAGGTCAATAGATATTTTCAAAAAAAAAAAAAAAAAAGTCAATAGATAAATATTTTATATTCCTTAATCCTTATTACCGAGTAAATTTTTTGGAATATAATTTAGATGACTATGGCTCCAAGTCTTCCAAGTAAATTTCTTGGAATATAATTTTAGATGAATATGGCTCCAAGTCTTCCAAGTCAACAAATCAATAATTCATTCTATCCAACCTTTCTTTACTTTCCAATAACCAATTAATACATTTCAATCTGCATGTCAGACGTGCATGAACAATGAAATTAAAGTAATATGGACTATAATTGCTTCCCATCTTATTCCACGGGCGGAGCTACAGTGGGGGCAGTTGCCCCCACCCCCGCTCCCATATATTATGACTTCAATTTTGGAAAGGTCAAGATTTGATTCTCACTGCGGATTTTTACACTTTTTTGGTCTTTTAGAAATATTAATAGTGATCCACCCATGTGAATGGAGCAAATTATTTGGCTAGTCTCTTACCACTTAGTCTGCTAATCGTTGGGATGGAGGATTAGTCTTTTGGCTATCGGATGGAGGGATATCTTTGGGCAACAAAAAAGATAAAAAAGAAATATTAATAGTGATTTTTTAGTTTTATTCTTTAAAGTATAATATTTGCAAACATTCTTTTATATTAATATTGAGATGTATAATTTATAATGTATTTTCTATTTGAATCATTTTATCAACCTAATTATGTTTCATATTTTGGTATAAATATTTTTAAAAAAGTTTTGATGTGTTTTGATTTTTCACTCATCATATCCAATAATATTTATGGTTATGCTTTTAAATGTTTTTTTTTTCAAACTATCTCTTTTGTATTAATCTTTCGACCCCACTAAAAATAAATAAAAATCTAGATCCGTCTATGTGCGAGACTCCGAAAAAAAGTAACTAGCTAAGCGAAATTAGAAGTTTTCTTCAGAGAATTAGGAGTCAAGTATCAAAGTTTAATTTGTTACCACTAATTTTGATGGATGAAAATTAATTTCATTTTTTTTTTTTTGGGTGAAACCAAGAAACCTGTTACAATTATCTAAAGGTATGCATGGAAAAGATCATATATGATAAGTTCAATTGATAAAATATTAGCAAGAAGTCAAGATCTTGTGGTCTAATGACACCAAGGTTGGACTCCCATATGAAAAGTCGTGGATTTGAATCTCAGTGGAGATAGATACTACATTATAATAGATTCAGTAGCATCCCCAAAAAAAAAAACACCTTGACTTTTAAATATGATGTAGTGGTTGGAATGGAAGTTCCCATGGCATTTTTCACGTTTGAATGTTATGCGAGGCAGCAAATTAATGTCTAAAGGTGGTCTCCCCAAGATACTTCCTTGTAATGAAATAGCAAATAATTTTGAGTTTGGAGATCTCAAGTATGAAATAATGACAAATTAAGAACCAAAAAACGTGTGAAAAGCCCAAATCTAAGACGTGTGGAAAAACCAAGTCTAAGACATAATGTGGAAAGCAATTGTTATATCGTGCGCCTTAAAAATCTTCTGTTTCGTATGTACATAATTGTATAATAAAATATACGTAAACTTTTAACATAATAAACATGAACTCTTAATATAATATACATAAACTCTTAACATAATATACATAAACTCTTAAAATAATACATTGTAAGTGTACAAAATGGTACACATTAGATTGGCTAATTTATTAGTTTATTTTATTAATATGTAATGTTAATTAAAATTGATTTGTAATTAGTATTATTGGACCAAGCTAAAATGTGTGGTGGAGATTTATTGTTAATGAATTGGACAAAGAAGCAAGTCTGAAGATCTCATTTAATGAATGAGTGGTTGAGAAGAATTCAAGCCACATATGAAGCTACAATCAAGGCTTGGTGAAATGGGAGTTGCATACAGTATATAAGGAAGGGAAAACGAAAGAGGAAGTTGTCAATTCTGAAATTCTGATCTCATATGCAAGCTTCCTACATTACTGCTTTAATATT